TTTTTATATATTTCCTTTTAGAATTAAGAACTTTAAACTTGTATACAATTAAAATATGGATTATTAGCTAAGATGTTATGCTATTCTAATTGGTATAACATAAATAAAAAAGTAGTTTAATAAAATTTTGAATGTAAGACACTAAAACGTTGTATCATGCGCAGTGAAGGGTACCCGGGGCAATAGGGTTAATTTACCTGGAATTTCTCATTTTTACAGTAGATCAGACCTGGATCATTTGTTATGTCCTGTTAGAACACTCAGATGTTATATGGCTTGTACGGAACCATTTCGAGGCCCTAGGAACAGACTTTTATTCATTGGGATCTTTCAGTGTGTAGGGATTTATCACCTGTTACTTTAACCAGATGGCTTCGGAAGTTAATCCATATTGCCTAATCGGGCTTATCTGTTAACGATCGCAATATGCTCCACATCACTTCTCACCAGATTCAACACCTTTCGATGTCTTTGGCTGCCCAGTTGAACTGTTTTCTAGAAGATATTTTGCGTGCCATTATGTGGACTTCTCCCGACACGTATATATCTCATTATCTTCACGATCTGGCAGTTTCCTCTTCAATGGGATTTTGTCTTCCTCCTGTGGCTGTGTTGACTACCTCTACTAGATTTTAACAGGGAGGTGAGTAACGTGTTATATGTCTTAAAATTATTGTTCTTTTCTCTTCTAGGGTCCCTTTTTATTTCTTTTGGATCTCACTCAGTGGCGAGTTTTGCCCAGTTGGGTATGCTTGTATTTAAATTCCACATTAACAGCCTTTATATCGGTTCCTGGTTGCAATGGGCTCTGTCAAGATGAGGTGTTCCTGAATGCAATTCTGGTTGGTGATATCATATTAAAATATTTCTAATGGACCACTACTCATAGACTATCATGGGTAAAGCTAAAGGGGATCTTGCCAGTCCCTGCTGATCTTAGAGCTGAATCATTAGAAGTCTGTTTGCTTTTAAAAATTAGGGAATGTGGTTCACCTGTTGCACTGTCTCTGGAGACCTCTTCCTCAGAGCTTCCTAATGCTTATGTTTCCCCCTTACTTCTACTAGTGGAGCTCAGGAGTTATTACCACACCCAATTCCCAGTCGCTAGGGTGGTGGCCAGGGAATTTCCTTCAGAGTGTTGAGTTTTCTCCACTCTTGTTGAAGAGGGCGAAGTTGGAACCCTCCTACCTGTCTGTAGGAGCAGGACTAACCTACATAGGAGCCTACTCATAAAACCAGTCCACATTTGATGCTTAGCAATCCAGTGGAGGGGGGGGGTGCTTGGACCCTCTTATGAACACTGTCATGTCTTATGTTGTCCACTATCTCCTTGTAAATCTGAACACAATGGAGTCCCATCTTTAGTCCTTGGTGGGACAGTGTTCCACATCCTCTCCATAATTCCATGGGTAAGTGGAATTCTCTTTGCCTACTTGGTGGGGGAGTAAAAACAACTGTTTGTAAATCCAGATTGGATGAGTTCTGGACTTTGGTGGAGTATGGCATATGATCCTCTCAATCCGGATCTGGGATGTTGCCTTTTGGACATCTTCAGGTTAATCAGAAAGATTGTCCATTTTGGTGTTGCTTTCTTTCTTTCATAAATCCGGTGGTTCAAAATGCATCATTCTGTGGTTACTGGTAGGGATCCTATCACAAACATATATATATATATATATATCTGTAGTCCAACTGCCCTGGTCACCAATGTGGGATATGGATTCCATGACCCCTTAAATCCAACTCGTGTTCTGGCACCTCGGCTGTTTGGTCGGTGCTGGACCATCATACTTATATTATATTCCACCCTTTTCAATTTCTGTAGTTCTGGGTGAAGAGCATACCTGTTCTGGATGTAATGTGGTGTTCTTCACTTTGATACCACTTCTTGTGGTACATATTTGTTCTCTGCAGATGCTTTCTGTATGATCTCTGTCCTCACCGGCCCCTCTGCCTTCTCAATGTGGGATTCTAGCTATCAGTGCCAGCAGAGGTATGTATGTTTTGGAAGTTATCTTTTTCCTAAATTGAAAATGTATTTCCAAACATACTTACATCCGCTGACACTCTCCCTCCCCACTAAGACCCAGTGTTAGTGACTGGAATGAGGTAAGTCTCAAAAAAGTATTTATTGTCTGCATACAGTGCTTATATACAGTACCTGCATAGAGGGCGTGTTAGGGTCGACATGAAGTTTTGCAAATTAGATATTGCCGAGGACAGTTGAATGGGATACATAAAGACTGGAGCAAGGAAACACAAAATTAGATGGCAAAGATGAAGATCGAGAAGTAGCTATTAGTGTCAGCGGAGGTATGTATGTTTGGAAATACATTTTCAGTTTAGGAAAATAACTTTTCTGACTGCTAACTGTGATTGTATTAGTCTTTTTGGAGGCTTTAAACTTAAGTTACATTACTTCATTTCTGTCTGAGACTTTTCATTGTGTTCTGTAATAGATGTTGTTTCATGATCTAATAGTTTCTTGCTTTGTTAATTGAAACTGTTAAAATGTACATTACTAGTTATTACTTGTGGGTTAACCTTTTAGCTGAGTTACTTGTGACTTGAGCAGTCATGAGATCGTATTATGGTCATGAAATAATCCACAATTGAAATTACCACATGAAAAACTGGAATGCAATATGAGGTCAATCGATGACTATGAAATAAGCCTGAGGATGGGACTTGTTTATGTAAGGGAAGAAATGTGGTAGTTTGAGTTGTTAATAAGTGCCTAATATGGGGTCAATCGATGACTATGAAATAATCCTGAGGATGGGACTTGTTTATGTAAGGGGAAGAAATGTGGTAGTTTGAGTTGTTAATAAGTGCCTAATATGGGGGTCAATCGATGACTATGAAATAAGCCTGAGGATGGGACTTGTTTATGTAAGGGGAAGAAATGTGGTAGTTTGAGTTGTTAATAAGTGCCTAACTGACAAACACAAATGGATTAACCCTTTAGCTCAGTTGGAAGAGCACTCGTTTTTTTCCTAGAAAAATGTTGTATTTTACTTGTAGCCATGAAACTGTTAGAATTAATGAACTGTGTGCTTTCCAAGTAGGATACTACATTACCATCGTACTTAAATTTTGTGTAGATAATTTCTTTGTTTATGTTTTAGTTGAGACATCCATGCATGCACACAGAACTGGATGGCAAAACAGGTTTTACTTGCAGTTATTCATAATGTAAGGTGCATTCATTATTGTTTTATTACTGTTATAAGTCTTCTTTGTTTAGTCAACTGCTATCCAAATATTACTATGGCTAATCTGCCAGAATATGTAGAAGGTCTTATCTCTAACAGATAGACAGTGATATCTGGATAAATCAACCATGCTGGAACAATCTGTATGGCACTACTAGCAGTACATGACAAATGACAGGGATAGTTCATTTTTCTTGATGATGTGTTCATGTTATTGTGTTATCTTCTTGTACTTGAATGTAGAAAATAAGAAGATGAAAGGAACATAAGGTAGTTTGGGTCCTTAGAAAAAAAAACCTTTAAAAATATAAATAAAACATAACTTTTGGGGAACAGTAACAAGTTAAAAGCAATACCTCTTAACACATTTGATCTGGGAAAAAATCTTATCAGTAAAAAAAGGTCCACAAAACATCATATTTTTAGTAAAATCTATAGGGATAGCCCATGGTCAGGGTAAATTTTATCGTAATTTAAAAAAAATCTTATCTGACATTTTGAGGAAAGTTTCTAACTATAAATAATTGGGAAATTATTTTTGTTTTCACTATTTAGTAGTCAACAAATTAAGATATTTGTCTCATTGTAAAGAACCACAGACTACAGTTTAGAGCTCACAAAACAAAGTATTATTTCTAGTTTTGCACTTTTTTGATGTAACTTTTTTAGGGCATACACTTAATTTTAATTATTTTTTAAATTCATATTATTAATTTACAGTAGCAGGAACCAGGATTCTATTATGGGTTTTTTTGGTTAGAAAAATATGTGCTATCTCCTCTCATCCCATTGAGACCTGCAAGGTGCCTATTTTAATTCTTAAACTAGCAATTTCTAATAGGATACTTTAATGTTCTTCATTTTTGCTCTGTTTCGTGGAGTAGAAAAACACTTAATACTTGTGTTTATTCACATTTTGAAATTGTTCTATTCTGTCAGACACTTAAAAACAAAGTTGTTGAAACTCCTTCTACTGAAGATAAAGAAGAGGTATTACTACCTCTTGAAGAAAAGAAAGATGTTGTAGAAGATGAAATGCCTAAGGATGTTGATGAAGAAAAAGGTTAGTGTTATTTGTGTTTGCTTAATCTTTCCATTAGTAAAAATTATTCAGTGACCATAATAACTCTGTGTACTTTTTGTAATAATCTATTAAGGAGATTTCAACAAAAATATATCCTGTTAATTCAAATTCTGATGTTGTGGTCAAAGAAAATTTGACATCTAGCTTAGTGATTATGTCATTGAGCTAAATGAATACTACCATGTGTTCAAGTAGTGTCTTTGACATCGTTGTGACCTTAGACGAGTTTACATTACCTTGTGCATTTGACAACTGTGATCATGGATATCAATGCATATTGAAAAATCATGTAATTGCTAAGAGCGAGAGAATAGAAACTGTAGAATGACTACTTAAAAAATTCTTCCCACGTGTATACAAAACAGAGGACTAAACTCTTTTTCTGAAGCAAATTAACGTATAATCCCAAATACTAAAAAATTCCTAAAGGAAAACACATCAACAGTACAAGTTTCACCACAGCATTTACTATTTTCCTAATAATTTTAAGTTTGGTGAATTGTGTGACTATTGCTCTTCTTTAGATAAAATTATGGCATGTGATTGGTAAGTGAATGTTTACCATTGTTTAATAGGTATTGTTGCCCTTTGCATGTTATTTAATTTTTTTATGTGAAGTATATAAATTTACTTTTATATTAAGAGGAAGAAGGTGATGGAAAAAAGAAGAAGAAAAAAAAGAAAGGAGAGGAAGATGATAAGAAAGATAAAAAGAGACCTGGAAAAAAACAGGTAAATATTTAATAATTGCATGGTATTAATGGTATAATAATATCCTTTAAAATGGAAATTATGTAATACGTATAAGCAAAAAAAAATGCAATTATTTGGATGTCATTTGATTATTCCAAGAAAAATAATATATTGAATATTTTAAAAATATTATGTTATTAGACTATTCAACAGTAAAATGAGATTTGACAAGTATTGTTAGCACTTTCAAAATTAGAGATGATGTCACTTTTTTTACATCAGCTGTTTTTAATAGACTTCTTATCATGATTTTATTTATTACTTACTATTAAAAAAGGAAACAATTTATATATTGATGTAATTTTTCAGTGGGAATTTGATAATCATTTGCCTGATTTTTTTTCAAATTTTAAATTTAATGTAGTCTTTGGAATAGTGTTTACAAGTTTATTTAGGGTTATATTAATGCTATTGACATAATGTGCTGTAGTGAAAGAATGTATTCAAGAATGAATGTATGCAATAAACTGAAAATGTTATAACCCATCTTAAAAGAAGCATGTTTATATGTGTTAGTTACTTTTTTTTTTATTAAGAAAGCTAGAATTATGACACACAGTCTTACTTAAAGTACTAAATATTGGTTTTGATTAAGAATTCAATTCGTATCTATTAGTATATTGTTTTTAAATTTTCCATCAAATATTACAGAACATACTATTTTAATGGAATGTAGTTTCATTAATTTGAAACAAGATAAGCAATTATTATTGTTTATCATATTTATAATAATAATAAATAATATAGACTTGTGAAAAATCTTAGTTTTAAACACTTCTCAAAATGTTTTAAGTACCCTAGTTTCCTTAACTTGAACTACATATACAAATTCTTAAATATCTTTAAATATTTGTTAACTGCTTTGATAAATCAAAAAGGACTGAATACATTAAATCTGATTTTAATTGGTTAGAAGCAGTGTTAGTTAGAATAAGTAACTAATATTTCTGCAAATGAATTTCCACATGATTTGCAAATATGTGCTTTTAAAGTAAGGAGAATTATGGCAAAATACATCGGTTTTACTGTTGGGAGGGTTCCAAAGGTAAAAAAATAATTAAAAGGCAAACATTTTATACATGTAAAGATTTGAATGGTAAACATTATTTTGCCAACAACGATATAACTAACCAGACGTTACTATAACTCAAAATTCAGTAAAAGGAACATTTCTTCCATGTGAATCAAAACGTTTTAGGAAATTGGATTTGCACTCTTAATTGAAGAACTGAATAATTGTACTTAATATACAAATATTTGTAGAAATTCATAAATTATGTTCATGTAATTGAATGATTATCTTATTCTAAGTGTGGATTAGCTGAGCATATGTAAATGTTTGCAGATTTTGCATTAGAAGTGTTTAGAAATGTGAAGTAAAAGTTATATTAAAAGCAGTATTTGTTACACCACAGTGTTATTGGTCCAATTGTACTAATTAAGTAAAAAATACTGCACATATACATCTGTATCCCAAAAGGAGGGATGCTTAACAATTAAACTGATTTAAACATCAGGAATAATAGGATACTGTATTCACAAGTCAATTGTAAAATAAGCTAAGTTAAAATGTTTTACTTTTGATAAATAAAATTTAATAGCAAGCACTCACTTTGTGGATTTTACATACATTTTTTGCATGATACCAATATTTAAATGTAGAATATTTGAAACATAAAAAACCATGAGCTAATTCCGATACAATATCTTACTTCATCTCACATAACAGTTTTTCTCATTTGGTGTTGCCCTCTGTATGCACAGGATTTGCTTGAGTGTCACTAGGCTTGAAACTCCCACCTACCCTGCATTTCTACGTGGTTCAGCTGCATTGTAGCATACAAATAAGCATTTGACAATATTCCACCAAAAGGAATGTGATACAATCTCCTGTTACAGCTGGCTCTTTCTGTACTGTAGAACCAAATCTTCACTTTTCAATTTGGCACAGTAAGGTTAAGACATGTTCATTCTTGCTCATGTTTTTACTTTAAAATTTACTTTTATCATTTTTCATGCTGTTTATTAAATAACTTAGTTGCTTTTCACTTCAGTAGTGATGAATATTACAACATTTTAACCTGCTGTTTCAGGCTACAGGCCTTACACTTTCTTCTGTAGGTGTTGTGGTTTTTTGACAGGAGTTGGGGCCCATCATGCAGTTGTCTGTTTTTTCCAAGCCAAGACCTGACATTACTTTTTTCTGGTGTATCAGGGCAAGATTTAGATGTTTTTTTCACCTCCTTCCTTGGCTGTGCAATCCATAGTTTCTGCCTGTGGATGCCCTCAGGCCATCATTAGCCTTCTTGGATATGGGGTCACAGATTTCCCTACCTTCCATTTTACATTTGTCTTCTTGTTTGTAACTGGTTAGTCTTCTATGTCTTATGCATGATCTCAGATGTTCTATTGCCTGCATGGGTTCCTTCCATAGTCCCCAGTTTATTTATCTACTGGAAACCTTCCTCTCTAAGTGATGTTTCACTCCCCACCCTCACAGGTTGGATTTGGTAACTTATCAGGCTGGCATAATCATCCTTATCTACCAACTCTCAACAGTTTGTTTTTACACGTGTCATCACATCAGATTCGATATCTTGCCTTTCCCTGGCTGCCCACCTATGTCGTTATTTCGGGGAAATCACTGAAGCTGTAAGGTAGACCACACCCAACATGCTCATCTCCCATTAACCCTGTTGGGTGGCTATTTTGTCCTAATCTAGATATTGCATTACTGTCCAGGTATATGTATTCTTAAACTTGCACTGTATGGCCAATAAGGTCAATTACGCCCACCATTAAGAAGATGTGTTCTGCAAGACTGCTAATAGGTTCATCCTCTCAGTGCTTTGCATTATAAATATGTCTGTCCTGAACCATACACTCGTGGAATAGCATGAGTAAAGCAGAAGGGGATTGCTGCCCATCCCTGCTGCTCCTTTAATTGCATAAATCAAGAATGGTGTACTTTTAAAACAGGGTTTTGCAGTCACCCATTGCATTTTCTCCGCTGCTTCATCCCTCCAGACTCTCCAGTGCATTATTCTGCCCCTTCTTATAGTGGAATATGGGAGTCCTTACCACTTACCAGCTCCTAGCTGCTGGGGTGGTGGACCATGGAGGCTTCCTCCTGAATGTGTTCAGTTGAGAGAAGGGTGATGGTTTTCTGCCAGTTTAGATGGCGTGACTATCCTCCTACTGTGGACCAGATGTCCAATTCCAGATGCTGTACGGTTTTAAACTTGATTTTTCCATATGATGCAGTCACCCCTTTGCCTGCAAACCCTTCTTCTTACTGCCACCTGGATATCAGTTTCTGGGTGACTGGTGTTGGTTGGAGCTGGACCAGCTGGTAGAAGTCCTCACATGTGAGTGAGCTGGGACCCTACTCCTCCCTTCCGTGGACTGGATGATACATGTTGCATGGTTTTGGAGTGGAGTTGACCCTCCACCTTCCTACTGTCATACAGATGTCAGTTCTTGGGAGGACAGGTTTTGGTTGTGTTAGGTATGCACACATGATAGCTTGGGTTCTCAGAATGGAAGTGTTTCTTCCCTTCTGGATCTTGAGTCTAAAGTAAAGATGGTAGGGGACCCTCCTTCTCATGTGATCTGGATGATTCATTCCCAGTTCTGCTGATATTGGACAAGAATTGACCACCCAATTTTGGTCCGATGCACCCTAGCCCCTCTACACTATCGGCACGTCTGTCTACAGTTTGTTTAGAACCCTTCTCCTACTGTGGACCAGATGACTTATTCCTGGATATGCTGGTTTTGGACTGTAATTGACCTCCTATTTAAGATGAAGATGGTTAAGAACCTTCCTCCTATCATGGATGGAATGATTCATTCCCAGTTCCACTGGTTTTGGACTGGAGTTGACATCATGACTACAGTCAGATGTGCCCTATACACTTTATACCTTTGGCATGTATGGCTAAGTTTCATATGTCTCTCTATGCTGCCTGTTCTGTGACACATTCTTTGAGGGTGAAGAGTATACCTAGTACAGATGTGGTACGGTCTTCCATGAGTGTGTTCCTCTAACAAGAGAGGTCACACTCAATGGGCATTTTTCAGATGCTTTCCAAAGGGTGCTCATCGAAGTATATTTTGCAGTGGTCACTCCACCAGGTTAATGTGGGATTCTAGTTGTTATGCGAGATGAAGTAAGATATTGTATCGGAAGTTAAAATTTTCCTACACTGAAAATATATTTTCCATAGATACTTACCTCTGCTTACACTTCCCACCCTTCCTCCCCACTTTTGGTGGTTTTTTTGCCTAATCTGGAAGTGAAGATTGGATTCTACAGTATAGACCATCTGCAACAGGAGTGTGTGTTACACTCCTATTATTGGAAGACTGTCACATGCTTATTTGCATTCTACAATGCAAGTGAATCACGTAGAAATGTGGGATAGGTGGGAGTTTCAAGGCTAGTGGCGAGCAAAAGTATTTGTGCATATAGAGAGCAGCACTGAATGAGAGAAACTATAATGTAAGAGGAGGTAAGTATATATTGGAAATATATTTTCAGTGTAGGAAAATATTAACTTTTGGCAATTTAGTCAAGATGAAGGCTCAAAAGGAAATATTTTACATATGTCTGATAATTGAAATGTTTCAGTGAAATATATTGAAATTGATATCTTAAAATAATTGTAAAACTTCTGGGAAGAACAGAAATGATGTTCACTAAAAGATTGGCAATTATGGTAACAAAATTAACTTGTTTGCAAAGGAATATTCAACAGGCTTGGAATTTATAATATTAGAAGTTGCACATTGTTTTTATTAATCAATGAAATATATCCATCATTAGAGAAAGGAAATAGTTTGTTTAATTTAAAGTCATTTTTATGTACAATATCCAATTATTGGTCTAGTAACTAATGTAAAATGACTATGGGGTGCTATATTTAGTACAGATAAAACTCATTTGTATATGAATAAATTTTTGATTTTTGGATACTATAAAGCCATCATAGAAACAGGATATGAAGTTTTAAAAGTTGTTCAATAAAGAATGAGTTAAATTATTCCATGTAAATAACATACACGGGGTCTTCTTTCACAGAGTATATCTTTTTAATGTAAATTTATTTCAACTAAAGATTGCTGCAATGCAAGAGGCTATGAAGAAACTTAAAGAGGAGGAAGAGAGACTCAAGTTAGAGGAGGAAGCAAAGCAACGAGCTGCTGAAGAGGCTGAATGTTTGAGACTTGAAAAGGTTTGATCTATTTGTAAAGCTAAAATTTTAACTCTATGAACATTAATTTGAAAATTGAATCATTTTTGTAGGAAAGGTTTTCTTTAATGTATTTAAAATTACAATAAAAATTACTGGATATAAAACTTTTAAACCCTGTTATACACATTTTCTTTGTTTTTTTTAAATTTTAAGTTCTTTTAATGCTTTCACAATGGGCTTGGTATAAAATACCAAGTCCGTATATGCAATTGCAATCATTAAGTTTTTATACTATGACTTTTAATACAGTATGTTTATCTTCACAAAATTTAGTAGACTTTTGGGAAACATTAGAAGTCTTTTGCACACAAAAAATCAGATTTTTTAATGAAGTATTTTTACTAAAGATTTGTTTGTGAATATATAGTCTGTTTCATTACTAGTTCGAATGCAAAGTGATTTTCATGTTATGATTAAAAAAACATAATCTCTAAAGCCTCCTAAATACATTTCAAATGCTTGTTTTCAGTAAATATTTATATTTTATTGTTATTTTCTGTACCCTAACTCTGTACAAGGTTAGTCAATTTTACTGACCTCATAACCACCAAAAAAAAAAACTCGAAATAAATCTAAACTTCCCTTTTTTCTTTCTAGAATGACTTCAGTATACAACTAGTTATGCTTAAATTTTATTGTTTTATTGCCCTTTGAAATGTGCCTAACTACTATTTGCATCATTATGTGTTGTAAATCACTTGGGGAATTTGGGGCTCATGTTGCACTATTGAATTACGTTACTCACAAGCTACTCTGAACTGCTTGTGTGTGTGTACCCCATGAAAATTTTTTATCATATTATTATTTATTTTATATAATCTAACCATAACTACCTAAAGAGATTCCTATTTTTACATTTTAGTTACTTTTATAATAATAAATAAAGAATACACATGAAAAACAAGAAAAAGTAATTGTCTGGACCTTCTTCCCTTTTTTTTTTGCTGTCTACTGTCGATGACATTTAACACTACTTTTTTATATACTAATGGTAGTAATGCACTAAATAATTTTTATTTGATTAAGTAATACACCAAAGAACATAGAATAACAACATGCAAAAAGCAGACAATGTCCCATAACTTTCACAAATTTTCTGGCTTTCTGACTATGCGACAAGAGCTGTTACAAATTAATCCAAGCTAGTTGATATGTTTCCTGTGGGAACAAAGCATGTACTAAAAGAGAAATTGACAATTCTCTGTATGGAAAAGAACATTATATAATACGCCATTTGATATATGAAAACCTTGGCTTTCCATTGGTTATAAATAATAAACTATTAAACGTAAGAGAGAACTATTAGCAAATCCTGAAAGGGAAGATGTGATATGTGGGTGTGGCAAGAGGAGTCTAGTTTTCTATTTGATGGTTCTGTAACCAAACAAAATTGAAAGCTATAAAATTTATGGTTTGTCTGAGCAATGACAATTTTATAGTGAGTAATTTACATTTACTTTCATATTTACTGGAGGGGTGGTGGATGAAAAAGAGAAGATACCTAGAGAAAGTGTGTCGCACTAGGGGAAATTCAGGATTTTTTTTAAATATTGCTTTATGAAATTAAGAACTTAAAACTCAAATACTATTAAAATATGGATTATGAGATATGATTTTGTGCTATACTAATTGGTATAACATAAACAAAAAGTAGTTTAACTCTTTCAGCATGGGCTCGGTCCCTGGGACCAACGTCGTAACCATTTTGTGCTTATTATAGTTTTCATGCTATAACTTTTAAATCAGTAAGTGAATGCTAACGAAATTTAGCAGGTTATCAGTAAACATTACAATGCTTTCATACACAAAATATCTAATTTTTTTTATTAAATCTTAAGGCTTGTAAAACAATGTTTTTCTCATGCCTTTTTTCTTTTTGCCTATCTATCATGCAAAGTAATTTTCAACTTAAGATTAAAAATACTTTTATGCATCAGAAAATTTTCAAATTTCAAATGCAAAATCTTTACGTTCAGATAGTTATCAAATGTTTCTTAAGAAAAAACTTTTATATTTTATCTGTTAACTGCTAACTGACTTTTCAAACAAGAACACCCATGTTTAAATCCTGGCCACTACCACAAATTGCAGTCTTTTGTAGACTTCCCTTAAGATGGCAGCATATTAGCAGCCAAAATGTAGGAGATATACTGGTGATCATACAGACACTTAACCATCATGATGATGAAGTAACATTAAGTTACATTTAATCAAAAGGAGAAACTGAAAAAAACAAAAACAAAATAGTAAACACAAACGGAGCATTTAAAATTTTTGTGATGAACTTGAAACTTTCTTAAGCAAGGTAATTTCACAGCATTGTTTTCATTTCTTCCAATAAACAGTTGAGAGTAATGCACTGCCCTGTAGTTTTATTAAGATCCAACAGCACATTTGCATCCATATCTGATACTTGATTAGCAGTGGTTGGACAGATTACCTGTTTTTGGGCTCTTGATTAAAGCTGTGGTATGAAATTACTTCTGGCTTTAGCTGTTATTTATTCCTAAGTTAAATTAATATCGTGGTGTAAATATTTTAAATATTACTTATTGAATTAATAATGGATAATTGAAAACTCATGGTACTTTAGCTTCTGGATATGTGATTTAAATAAAAACAGTGTTAAAATATCATTATAGTGTATGAGTTTGAATAGGTAAGTAAGGATTAAGGGAACGGGAGACATTAAACTGATTTCTTTTTTCTAAATGTATGAAAAGCAGTATCAATATTTTGTTTTGTATACATCTAAGTTCCCTATTTTATTTTTTTTAGATTCGTTTAGAGCAAGAAAAAAAAGAGAAGAAAAAACAGAAAGGAAAAAGAAAAACGTGAACGATTAAAAGCAGAAGGAAAGTTACTATCTAAGGCTCAGAAACAAGCCCGAGCAAGAATGGAAGCAACTTTAGAAGTTTTAAGACAACAGGGTATGGTGAAAGTAAATACAATTGTGTATTGTATTAATTTCATATTTGTTGATTTTACATCCTAAGAAATTAACAGTAGATAGTATTTAGGAATTTTCAATTTCATCATTTCATTCTTGTTGAACAAAACTATGATTGTGGAAATGCAGAGATCCACAGATAAATGAGATGTTGTTTTGAGTTGCATTAGGTGCTTTGTAAAAATTTACTAAAAAATATAAAAATGGTTTCAGTCCTATTCAAAAATAAACAACTTCAGTATATTTGTATTCATTGGACATTTGAATTAATTTCTTTAAAAATATAGTTATATCTAATTGGAAATTAAATATTTTACATGGTGTCCTAAACTTTGCTTTTCATAGGAAAGTGGTAAAAAAAATGTGATAATCAAGGGGTATCAGGCAGGCGGTAGCACTGCCTATGTAGAGATGGCTGAGATTCTTCATCAAAATTGTATTAATTTGGTTTAATATATCCTATTTTTGTATGTTAAATGTTAACATGCTACTACACTGTGTGCCTGTGCTGTTTTGTAGGGATGATGCAAATACCATACCTACTATCTTGTTTGCATTATTTTTGAAGGATTGATATTAGTCTTCCCTACATTTATTTCCATTTTTGAAAAGTTTTTATTTCATTTGTTCGATGTAGTTTCCTGACATACTCAAGCGTAGTTGTAAACATTTTACTCATTCTTTGCCTCTTTAATATTAAAAACACTAACTGCAATCCATTAAACATTTGTGATAGTTTTCTTTATTCTGTCATTTTCTATCATTTTCTTGCAAGCATTTTCTTGGTCTATTTGAAAAATTTTTATAAGGTCAGACAAATAAATTCATGTAGATGTAACTTTATTTAATAAAAATACACATAAACAATAAAATAAAGTAATTGTATTTATATTAGTGTACATAGTACAAAACAGTTATGAGCATTCAATGTATGATATGGTTTTATGAGTTGAAACAAAAAACTCATAAAAACGAAGAATAAGACCCATAGTAAAGAAAAAAGTACGTAAAGGTGTTTATAGCAGTCTATGAAATGAACCAAACTAATTATTGCAAAGTAAAATAAATGTAAAGTTGTAATGAAGACAAACTTAGCTGAATATGCAGGAACATCTGAATGTGCATTCACAAAGTGATAAGCATATTGTAATGAACAAACTGCACATGCATATTTTAAATATAAATAAGTTGAAAAACCCCATAGAAATTCTATTTGGTGTAATGTTCATTTTGTTTTAGGAAATTACATGTGAATTAAGTGTTGTTTGTGTGAATTACTTTACAAATATAAAGGCTAAAGTTGAAGTTGAAGCCAGTCGTCACATGATGACGACGACATTGTGCCGTCATGTACCATACTTGTTGCATTAAAAACTTTGACTAAGCAAGAAACAGGTACAGTGTTTCTGAATTGAAAAGCCTATATGCAATTCGGAGTCCTTGGACAAAGGTCTTTCTAACAATATGAGATTTGTAGTGTTTGATTAAGAAACTTGTGAGAAAAGTTCCAGACAGACGAATGCAAGCATTTTATTTATATAGATATTTTAAACGATAGTTGTACTTGTTGACAAAGAAAAGAAGGGATTTTTATTTGAAGACTGACTTTTGAGATAGCCTATGTATTTCAATACTGAGCATTACCTATTTTTTGAACAACACAATAGTTGTAGATAAGCTGTTAAGAGTGGTGATACAGTTTTATGCAGGAGGTTAATACTGTCTTTTAAATATATTACATTTTGTTCATTCTTTGTTTTACAGTATAATAGTTTTATGATAATACAATGAAACAATAAAAATATGAAACTCACTCATAGCAAGTCAGAAATATTGTTGATATTGTTTGGGCAACTTTTTGTGATGTTTTGAATTTCTTTATTCAATGTTAAAGGTGTTGAAGTGCCTCAAAAAGGTGAAAAACGAGAACGAGCTCCTCGTCTAGGAGACAGAAAACGTTTTCCAAAAAAGAAATCTGAGGAGGAAATTTCAACAGAATCACAACTTGAAAATGGTAAAATGTATAAAATGTAACAAATTTGTTTAGCTGCAAAGGTAGGCTTGTGAAAAGAAAAAAATTTTGAAATTGAGTACTTTTTACAGTGGTGACTGACAAGAAGTTTTCAATGTCAAGGTTAGGCTCAGTGATCTGTAACTTGTTTTACAGTTGTCTTAGGATTGAACAGATTTTTTATAATATCTATATAATCTGTTTTCTTACTTCAGTAACTTTGTTCAGGACATGACGTTAAAGGTATATAAAGTTAATGTACAGTATTAAGTAGTCATGCAGTGTGAATTGATCCAGGATGAAGTGTGTGTGTCCTTGTACTGAGCATAGGACTTTGTTTTTTTTATTTATTTAAAAAATAATTTTCTTGATTATTTGTACGTAAAAATCATTCTAATAAATATATGCGACTGATTCAGATTGAAAGGTCGTACCTTATACAAACAGTCATCATGAGGTTGGGAATTGTCTGTGAAATGCCAAAAATGTAAGAGCATTTGGAAGCAGTTGCGACTCGTATATCAGTACTTCAGTAGTGCTCCAAGGTAGGTGGGTTATTTGGACCCATGTGAATCAACAGTGCAAGAAATTTTTTCCTTTCTGTTGCATGTGTCCATAGAGTATTTTAGATGTGATTTTCTTCGCAGTGTTTGTTGATTTTGGCTGTAGCATATTGATTTGTTTCTGTGACCAGAATCAGGAAATGTGTCCAAGTAATCACCAGGTGAAGCATCTTGTAACTGAATTTTAAGATTAGAGTTTTAATTGAAAGGGAAATATGATGGATCTTGCACAATATTTGACCAGTAATGCAATAGGACAACAGGGTTCATAGCTCCAGCTGCTCCTATCATGAATTGGTATAGCAGAACCATGTCCACCACTTCTTGTCTTAGCACATGGTCCTATGATGTGAATCCCATTAACTATAGGTTTTCCACATGCTGCCAGTACTGCATTGTCATCATTTGAAAAATAAGAATCCGATGAAACTATTGGGTCGCCACATTCACTTGACTGGTTGTCACTGTCACTGAGGGCATTGCTTATAGATAGGTAAAATTTGAATATAAAGTATATGCATATGCATACTTGGCTTGGCATATGGGTGTGGTATATACTATAAGAGTCAGCAGTCAACGTGTTAAAGCTATTTAGGATAAACAAGTCTAATTTCTTGTTACTAACTGCTGTATTCTAGAAATAAATAAAGGGTAACTTAGATTTATTTCATATCTCTTTTTATGGTAGTTACGAGTTTGATCAAATTGACCGACCTTGTATAGAGTTAGGGTAGAGAAAATAACAGGTTAAAAAATAGTTTTATTAAAAAAAAGTTTGAAATTTATTTAGGAGGCTTTAGAGATTGTGCAAATGAAATTTGACATGAATCTTAACATGAAATCTTTTTAATCTTAACATGAAAATTACTTTGCACTAGGAGTAATCAACACTTTGACTCAATATATACATGTAGAAATTTTTAGTAAAGATACTTCATTAAAAATTCTGGTTTTTTGTCTCTAAAAGACTTATAGTGCTTACTGAAAGCTTACAAAATTTTGTGAAGATACACAAAACACATTAAATGTTATAGTATAGAAACTCCAAAGGTCAATTTGGGGTCAAGATTTAGATTGAATTGCCTGAGTCTGTAGTGAGAGAGTTAAAGTTAATTATAAATTGTAGGACACACTAAGTCAAGGTATGTGAAGAGATAAGTCTGGACAAACTATATTGAAATGTAAAGTATTTAACAAGAAGACTAGTTAACTGGTTTGCCAGTTTTCCTGAATGATAATGAAGTTAATTCAAATAAATAATATTGTGTTGTTAATCCTTACCCTAAGTATCTGACTTGTAAATGACTTAAATAAAAATTGATAATAAATTCACTTCACTTACTTAATCTAGTTTGCATTGTAACAGTCATTGTTCATGAAAGTTGATGATATAAATAGTGCTTAGGTATTAGGCAAAAGGCCTCTTTGGCACTAGATATGTCAGATGGTTGTCATGTTGGAACATATTCTTCTTTATTTTCACTTATAAGTTTTTAAAATTACATAACTATAATTAGATATTCTTTGAAATTTAGACAGCTTATTTATATTAAAGAAAATTATCTAATTTACAAGATGTTAGCTTCCTTAATTGTGATTATAGAATTGTTACATAACCTATTGAAGGATTTTTGTCATGACCATTTAGCTCATGTTTGAATAAAGTGCCATTCAGGTTGAAAACACCATTGCTGGATTTCTCTATAACACTACCTTCAAATAAAATAATTTTTTCCTAAACAAAAACAAACATATAATTCAAATGTTTTTTTCCACTAAAGTTTAAAACAGCTAAGCTTCAAACATTTAATTGGTAGAAAGTACCATGTTCATTTTTATTGCATAATTCCACCTACATTGAAAATGACACTGTTGTTTCTTTTTTAAAGTATTTTCAAGTTACCTTAGGAAAATACTATAAAAGCATTCAGCACAAAAAACTTATAACTATAAAAATTACTCCTTGCATTTATCTGGTTATAATTTTAGTCCTTTGTTTTAAAGCTTGTAATAAAACTTTTTCAAGGGTGTGGGGCTATTGTAATTTCTTGGATAGGTTAGAAAAACTTTTATCTGTGCTTTAAGCATTAAACAGTCATTTGTGATATAAATAAATTACAAAGAATATCTTGTTCTCAGCAGAATACTTTTTAAATTAAAGAATAGACAGTGATGTTTTGAAGTGACTTTTAGTTGGGTCATAAGACTTTTAAGAATGATGCTGATTCATGTTGTTTTTGAAACCTGGTCCAGATAAAAAGTTCTGTTAATAAAATTTGTCATCTTTTGTCTGGTTTCAAGACACAGAACCAAGTTTTGATTAAGTCATTGAAGACCAACACGAATCAGCATTCATGCAAATTTTTTCCTTTTTTTTTGTTGGAACTGTCAAAATCTGTGATAAGTGTATTAAAAAGTAATCATATATTCCATGAAAAATGATTTATTTCTGATTTTAGAATATATTAAGGTAGGTTAAAGTTAAATAATATTGAACAGTGGGCTTTGATAAAAATTAGTTCACAATTGCATTAAAGTGAATTTTAAAAATATTTTGTTACATAGAGACAGACGAAAAATAAAGTTTTAACATCTAGCATTTAAAAAGTTAGTACAACTGATGGTTAATGCTCTCGTAATTTCTGACCTTACTTTATTTAATAGTAGAGAATTATGTTTTTTTGGAATCTTTAGACTTGTAAATGGTAGCAGTGGCTTAATTTTTACTGGATCCTATTTTTTACATGATAAAATATTAAATGTGATATAATGCCACTGATTCTTCAAAATAACTGATGTAGAGTGCTCTTTGGGGGTTGCATGTGTTTTCTTCTGAATATTTCACAGCTGAAGAGCCTGCTAAAGAACCCACTAAAATTGAGGTTGCAATTGTTGGACATAAAGAAGCTGTTGATGGTGACTTGGCCAATAAAATACCTGTTGATGGAGAAGTTGTAAAAGAATCTGATGCTAAAGTTGCTGAAGAAGTGAAAGAAGCTTGGGATGAAGAAAGCAGTGGAGAGGAAGATGAACTTGAAGTGAATGGTATGTTTTGTGTATTTCACTAATAAGGCCAAAGATATCTTTTGTATGTGTATTAAGGTAATATAGGACTTCCATTATTTATCAGATTTAATAGTTATGAGATGGTCATTTTTGAAATATTTTCTTAGTGCTCTGTGATGCTAACTGAAGTGGTCATGAAACCTACCAATATTGTTTAGCAGAAAGACTATTGCAAGATACAGGAATATAGATATATAATAATGTATTTTGATGGTAAACTATGTATAAAGAAAATGAAACACCAGTAATTTGCAATCTGAAGAATGTAGTGATCCAGGTCAAAATTTTGATATTAAGTTTTGACTTTTTCAGGATAAGATAACAGTGTTTTAAAAGTGCTAAAATTGTATTCACAATTCATGTTCTCTTTGCAACTGATCAATCGGAAGAGGGGCATTGAAATTTGGAAGTATCTTTGTTCTATAATTGACAGCCAGAAGTATCCTCCAAACAGATAAAAAATGATAAGAATCCAACTATCCCATCCTACAGTAGCTACAAGAAGTAATACCTCAGGCAAAAATTCTGCACACAATCTCAACTGGATTAAGTATGTTCCAAAATTAGAAGTTAGAGAAAATTCAGGAATGTTAAATATTAGGTTTGAATCATAAACCCTTTCTTAATGGATTAAAATTCTATTTGTTATCAAAGTTGAAGGCAAAGAAAATTATCTTAATTGATTGAACCAAAATCCATCTGGTTTTGTAATAATTTTTTTCTAATGTTTCTTCAGTGGCACAGTGGTATGTCTACAGTTTTGTACCACTAGAAACCGAGTTTTGATACCCCTGGTGGGCAGAGCACAAATAGCCCTTTGTTCTTAACTACAAACAAAAAAAAACTGATGTTTTTATAAAAGCTTATGATTGTTGAAAAAATAAATTTTTTTGAGATATTGTAGTCATAACTAACTTTTGAATAGAACAGCTTGGATTTTTTCCCTTTTACTTTTAAAAGAAATTATACTACTAACAAAAAATAAATCAGAAATAATCACTTTTACGCCAGTTTCAAACCCTGTAAATAATTCATATTCTTCTTACAGCTTTAAGCTAAAATAGTTACTTTAATTGGAAAGAGTTTTTCTTGGTTTAGTGCAAAGCTACAGATTGGGCTATCTGTGTTATGCTTGCTGTAAAATCAAACCCAGAGTTCTAGTATTTTATGCCCTTAAGCTTATTGCTGAGTCACCAGGGAACATATTTGGGAATAGCTAAAATACATTTTGGAGTCAGTTAAAAAAAATTAAGTTGATTAAAGATGATCAAGAAGAAATACATTGGTTGGTCTTTAAAATCTTTTACTTATTGAGGGTTTTACTTATTTATTTTTGTATGAAGATGTTCAAGATACTGCAGATGAAAAATCTGCCGTGAAAGATGAAAGTGAAGATGAAGATGATGATGAACAGGAAGATGAAGATGAAGAAAGCAGTGATGAGGAGGAAGAATCTGAAGAAGAAAGTGGTTCTAGTGAAGAAAGCGAAGCAGACAGGCATAAAAATGAGGCAAAGATTAAGGAACGAGCTATTGTTAGGATACAGGTATATTTAACCAGTTTAAAAAATTTCTTTCACACTTAAACATTTGTACAAATAAATTAGAAAATAGTCACTAAGTCTGTCATTTTAAGTTAACACATTTTTCCCCACTATTTCAGTTTCTCATTACTCTTAGAAATCTGTTGACAACTGGTTCACCTTCTTAATTAACCATTTAGTCATATTAATATTTTATTATGAAGGTAATTTGTTAATTACTTATTAAGTGCAAGGTTATCTCTTCATAAATGACATCGTGCATTATTTCATATACTGTATGAATTATGTATCTACTCGTAGGCTTGTCAGCAATTCCTATACTTCCTATAATTTCCTATATTTTTCCCCTTTTTTAATGTGTATATATATATATATATATATATTCCTGTACTTGGAAGGAGTTTCTATAAAATTGCAAGATTTGTGTCACGAAGAATGCTTCTACAAATAGTGTGCGTGTAATCATCTTAGATATGAGAGAAGATAGCATATCAATGGTTCAAGATTGTGTTCATTATATATCAAATATTGCATTGCAGTATTGAAACAGGTGTACATACAGTTTCAGGTAGCATGTAGAACAGAATGCATGTACACTTGCTAGTGTGTAACACCAATCTGAGGATATATATATATAATCAATATGCATCATTGCATAACTTGGTTATTTATGTATATAAGTATCATGATAGTCTATGTACATCATGAAATACTAATTCATTAAAATATAAGGATCTGTTAATTTTTGAAACAAAAACTACTTTTTAGTCTACTTTTGCTTTTAGCAAAATTAGAGTGTTAGATTGGCTGGCTTGGCTTCAACTGATTATTATCCATTCACAAAATTTTCTGACCTGGGTATGCATTGTTTATTCGATTCGGCTGTCTTTCTGTTCTTACTTTTGTGAGGTAGATATGTAAATTAAGCACTGTATCAAGATTTATACTGGCTCCAACTCAAATTAAGACACAAAATGAGATGAATATTTTATCCCCAAAAGTGTGTACGATGTCTGTTCAGATTGTTGTTTTTTTGCATACATACAACACAGATGTAGACTACATGGGCATTGTTTTTTTAGCCCTGACTGACTAGTAAATGAAACCTTCCAACCTATATACATTTAGAACAAAAAAATGCAACTTAAATCTTATTTCCTAATTTTTTATGATGGTTATGAGGTCATTCAAACAGATAAAATGTAAAGATTTTCTGAAAAAAAACCGTTTGATATTTAACTGGATTCTTGAGGAGGTTATAGAGGTTTTGCAAATGAAATTTGACAATTTTGTGATACATAAAGTTATTTTTTATTTTAAAATCAAAATGACTTTGCATGTGGGATAGGTAACATTCAGAAAAAATGCATGAGCAAATCTTTAATTAAAAAACTTAATTTTAAAAATCTGATATTTTGTGTACAAAAGCCTTGTTATGTTAAATAATAATCTGCCAAATATCATGAAGATACACACATGCTATATTAAAAGTTATAACATGAAAACTATAACAAGCATAAAATGGGTACAAGGTTGGTCCCTGGGACCATGCCAATAGTTGAAAGGGTTAGCATAATAATTTATGATCAGATAGATTCAGCTTTTAGTTTGGCAGTATTCTGCAATGTAATGAAAATAATTGACTACTAATTATTCTTTGTTTAGTTTATCAAATACAAGTAAATAAAAAGATTTTGTTTAAAAAAATAATCACTTGTTTAATTACTTGATGTTCTACACTTGATTATATCTTGTCGTATTTGCTTTTACTGTGCTCTTGCTGAAATTTTATTTTAAGAATTATAAATATATTTAAAATTATTATAGTTTAGCTTCTTACTATAAAGAATTCTTTATACATTTATAACCATGTATTGATATAAAATGAAGGCAAAGAAACATGTATGTTAATTTCTTCTATTCTGCCACTATTAAAATGTGTAATTAGTGAATAACCGTATAAAATGTGGGATATGAGGTATAACTGTAATATTGCTATATTATATGTTCTTAGAAACGAAGGGAAATGGCAGAAAAGAACCGAACGCTTGAAAAATTGAGATCTCCAGTTGTATGTGTGTTAGGCCATGTTGACACAGGAAAGACAAAAATTCTGGACAAGGTATGTTTGTAAGAAGCTAATTTGTTACTTCTGTTGAGTTCTTTATTAAAGCATAAAGATGTTTTTTAGCACTATATTATCGGTTTGCATTTTTTTGTTCATAGAGTGGTGAACAGATTGTGAAATTTAACATTTTTTTTTGTTCTGTTGAGTGTAAATATTACTGCAACATTTTAAATGAGGAATTTCTTCGTGTAAACTATGATGAACTTGTTTACCTAACATTTGCAAGGACAAGTTTCCTGGGATGAATTCTAACAGTTTTTATTCTTTTAAGATATTTTTCTGAATGACAATAATTTTGTGGATGTTTATTCGTATGATGTCATGTTGTTTAACTTAATGCCTTTCACTTTCTATTTTTAGTTGTATCAATTTCTGATTATTTTTCTAAATAATACATATTTTCAAGTTTAAGCTTTTTATTGTTCTGGTTTTTAATCATTCTGTTTTATAAGGTATTTTATGCATATTTTTGGAATGATATTAAGACTATTTTTATACGATGGTTAGTGAAATATATTTGTTTTTCATCTTTTGTAGATATAATTTGTACGTGGTTGGTGATTGATTCAACTCATCTTATGGGTTGACTATATTACTAACATTTCTACAAGTTTCAGTTTTACCTAAGCCACAGACTGTTGTTTTCTCTGTTATAATTATTTGCCACTCTGAATGTTCATAATAAGATCAAACACATGACCATAAGAACTAATATCATTTTGTTTTGTTTGTTGAGGCAATATTTTATTTATCATTACAGGTGTTTATGTCTGTGATATAAAGAAAAACAATAACTTAATTATGTATTCATTTTAATTAAGGAGTATTTACTCTCCTAACCAAAAACGTATTCATTGACATTCACTGTATATATATGCCTCTGGGCTTGTTTAACAAAACATTTCAATTCAAGAGTTATATTTTTAAAGATATTTCTTATATGAAAGGGGCATTTAGTTTCTCTGTATTTAACATTGCACTTGTAATCAGGAAGGGAGACATTTTAAACTCTTCTGATTGGGTTTGAGATAAATGAATCATAGAGTTCACTTGCCTCAATTCATAGTAATTCAGCTTAGACTTTATAAGAGTAAATGTTTGTTTTTTTAAGTCCAAAGGTTTTTATTTTTTTGATAAATGTTAGATTTCTAGACTGTTGTGTAATTTCAAAAAAAGGTAAATGAAGTTTTCTAAAAGTGGGATCATGTGCGAGAAATAGTTTATGTAGTTTAGATGTTGAGTTTGGTTGTATGCACAGTTGTGAAAACACAATCTTTTGAACCAATTTTCAACAAATAGCTTGGTATGACTTATTGATTAGTGTGCTTAGACTGTGAATAGTGAGGGTTCATGATTCATAGCTGCAAAAATTCACTCCACTCTTTAGATTTGTGAGTGTGCTATTAGAAATATGGTCATATCTCACTCTTCACTCTGACAACAGTAGTCCAGAACTGGTGGTAGGCACTGTTTAATATCTGTCTTCCCTCTAGCTTAACAATTCAAAATTAAGAATAACTGTGGGAAGTACCACTTTTTGTAGCTTTATGCAGAAATTCTAAAACAGGTGAACAAACGGTCACATCTGTTTTATCCTGCTTTAACTTTGGAGGCAAATAAAATGTGTTAGATGACTTTCAAGATGCATTTCACACTATTTTTTGAGGTTGATTTGAATATAATGCCCACCTCTTTCTTTACTTTTTGGTTTTGGTTTTCTTATATTCACAACTGTGTTTGTATGGCATATTTATTTTGGACTATTTCTTTGTGTGTCTTTTTGTTTCTTCATCCAAACCTTTAGGATTATATTTTAGCTTTCCAATCAGCCAGTTATTTTTTTTAAAGAATTTTTTTAATATCATATTATTTCAGATGGTAGATTTGTGAATATTAACTGTTTAAATTTAAAACATGAAATTTTGCTAACAAAACTGTTGTTGAAGCTCACCTCTACTAAGAATAAGTTGTTTAAATTTTAGATTCGTAGGACTCATGTTCAAGATGGAGAGGCTGGTGGAATTACTCAACAAATTGGTGCAACCATGGTACCAGTAGAGGCTATAAAAGAACAATGTAAAATGGTGAAAAATGTAGGTTTTGTGTTCTGAAAATGGGGACTTTTTATAAATTTATGTATAATTATTTTATCACGATGTATATTAAGACTTTAAGACATGTTTAGTTTTATTTAATTGACAATTGAAACTGTCATTTCTTGATGAAACTTCATAATTACAGAATTGAGGAAAAACAAGACAATTGTATGTTTCACAAACAATCATTTATTCATGACAGTGGTTTCACTTGTAAAGGCATCATCAGATACAAACTGAAATGTTTTATAACAGTGTTTATACATATGTTTAAACAAAGAATTAGAAGTGACCTTGACATTCACCCATATATAAAATTCCTGTTACAAAACATTTCAGTCTGTAACTGTTGATGCCTATACTGGTGAAACCATGGTCATGAATAAATGATGTATTTGTGAAACGTACAGTTGTCTTACTTTTCCTCAATTCTGTATTTCTGTATTTATGAATTAAATGTGTTCCAGAATCAATCTACAACACAACAATACAAGAGAGAGATTTAGCTATATTTTTCTGTTCATTTCTTCTTAATTTAATGGTATTCTTGTTGTATGTGTGATATAATTTGAAATTATGAGAATAAAAAACAGGTAAGTCCTTTGAATTACAATAATAGTTTAGGTGGGTGCAAAATACATCAGTAATCTTTAGCATTGCAAGTACTTCATTCTTATCTGACTGTTCCAGTATGTCATTTGTTGGATCATTCCTTGATTTGCCACCTGAATCTTATCAGAAAACAGCTTTATTACTATTTGAAGAAATTTATAATATCAATTATTTTGGTAGATAACATCTTATTCTGACTAATAGATTAGTGTTGTGTGTGACATTACAATGCATTTAGACTGATAATAATAATGCTGATAATTATTTTGGTAAATAATATGATAAGCTGGCTATAGATTAGTGTTGTGTATGACATTACACTAACTGATAATAAGGAAATTATATCAATTATTGTGGTGTTATCTATCAAAATAATTGATAGCATTATTATTATTAGTCTTACTGTGATGTAATATCACACTCATAACCAGTTAGCACAAAAAGACCATGACAAATCAGTTACACAGTGAGAGAATTAAAAGTTTAAACTCGTGACATTTGTCATCAAGTAGAAGCCAGTTTGATGTGTATTACATTTCTCCTCTCCTATGTTTTCTTACTTATTTGGTAATAAGGAGTTTTTTATTTCCACAGAGCTGGTAATTATTAAACACACAACTCTATCAATATTAGGTGCTGAATTATAACTCTTGTAAGGGCAAGGTCCATAAAAACAAAATTATTTAGGTGATGGTATCTCTAGCTGACATACCAGACCAAATTTATTTTATTTATGTATTTTTATTTTTTACAGAAGTCTAGCATAATTCAAACAGAATTTTAAGTTGTGCATCTTTTAGTTCCATATGCTTCAAATTAGTATTAGTGTATAAGATTTCTTGAAAAATTTTCACTAATTGTTTTAGACTTTACCCAGCAGACACTAAGAATTGATTTAAGTTCAGTAGTTGCATTGTACAAATAACTAGAAAATCACATACTCTCCTCCTAATGATGTATTAATGGCAAGCTTTGATGTTGGTTAACTTTACACCATTACTTCATTACAAAAAGTGTTTTTTTTTGCATTTTTAATGAAGTTGTTTATGATCAGGTTGATGAAGTTTTATTAATGTAAAATATAAACTTGTTCCTGCTGTGGCTGAGAAAACAACAAAAGCATTTTTTTGGAAAACTTTGTAATTTGTATGAATAGATGTTATCAAACATGATATACTATTTTCAGTAAAGTTTAAATCCACACTAATGGAATAATATATTTATACGGATACTAGTTTTGACATTTCACATGTTTTCTTCGGTCTAACATTTGTCTGTGGGAGAAATGCAAACATATTGTATGTGTTTCTCCACAAACAAATGTTGGACTGAAGAAGATGTGAAATATCGAAACAAGTATCCATGTAAATTTGTAATTGTTCTGTTAGTGTGGATTTAAACCTTATTATAAATTACTTTACACAGTATTTTGTATATACCTCTTATGATATACTATATATATAAAGACAAAATGTGTGTTGGTTTGCACCCTAACTCCTTAGACTATTGGGCCAATCTCAATCAAAATTTGTATGTAAACACTATGAACTATGGGGAATGTCCTAAGAGGATCAAAATTGAACTTAACCCTATTTCTATTCTGTAAATACTGTTGTTTAATTACTTTCAGCCTATTGAGTCAATCTCAAACAATCATGGCAGGTTGATGCTTTAATCAACGTTTAATATTCTAAATGGATTCAAAGTCAAAGTATGAAAGTTGCTGGATTGTTTCTTAAAAAAATCATGCTTTTCTCATGATCAGTGAGATGTAGGGTGTTCAAGGGTGGGATCACCTCTAAATCTTTATTTGTTGGTAGATGGAAAGTAAACTGCAAATGTTGTTTATGAAGAAGCTTTGTTATAAATTTAAAATGTTGAGATAAAGTTTATGTTCATATTATTACTTTGAAATATATGATTGCTGTTAAACTTGCATTGCTTTAATAAAGTTTAAACATTCCCCATTAGTTGACGGTTATTTCAGTCTGTTCTTTATATAGCACTCTTTGATCTTTTTCAGTTTAGCTGTAATGATCTTAAACTACCTGGTCTGTTGATCATTGACACCCCTGGTCACGAGTCTTTTAGGTAAGATCTACAATACAAAGCATAGGTCCTGTTTGTTTGATGCTTTTCAGCTGTGGGTAGTTTAACCTTAAGATAATACAGATAGCAATTATTTATTTTATAATTTCTAGCTTTGTGTAGTGTTACCTGATAACGTTCAAAATATTGTCTTCAGTTGATAATATCTAGTTTTGTAAAGTGTGACATGTTGTTAAAACTGAAATCAATTCCTGCTGTTTCAGTACATTGTAGCTGTGTGTAGTGTGACGTAACACTGTAATCAGCTTCTGCTGTTTCAGTACTTTGTAGCTTTGTGTAGTGTGACTTAACACTGAAATCAATTCCTGCTGCTTCAGTACATTGTGTGACTTGATAATACTGAAACCAACTCCTACTGGTTCAGTACTTTGTAGCTTTGTGTAGTGTGACTTGAGAACACTGAAAGCAACTCCTGCTGGTTCAGTACTTTGTAGCTTTGTATAGTGTGACTTGAGAACACTGAAACCAACTCCTACTGATTCAGTATTTTGTAGTTTTGTGTAGTGTGACTTAACACTGAAATCGATTCCTGCTGCTTCAGTACATTGTGTGACTTGATAATACTGAAACCAACTCCTACTGATTCAGTATTTTGTAGTTTTGTGTAGTGTAAATATATGATAAAACAGAATGGCAGAGCTGACTGAAAATCATGTAAGGAGAAAATGAATAACTTTTATTTTTTGAATGCTTTAATTCTTTTTTAATAGTTTGTGCTTCTGAAATTGGGAAGTTACTTTGAGTCCATTTTAGATATTAATTTTAAGTTGCAATGACTTTCTGTACATGAACAAAACTAATTATTCAGTGTTCAACACCCGAATGTTGTAGTATGGAAATACTACATATATCACTATTCCATAGTATTTATTTTGTATCTAAAAACTTTAAATTGTTCTAAGTTCAAATTTTACAGCAACTGAATATACTTGAAGTTATCTATAAGATTCAACTTTGGGTGTTCTTTCTTGAGTTTGTACTGTTTCTTGGGATAGCTATATTGTGTCCTGTTTTTAATAGCTTGTGCATTGAATATAGCTTTGTGATCATGACATGGAGCAGAGATACTTCTGAATTCTTGAAATATATTTGTGCTTGGTTAGCAACAGGAATAATATAGATTGTGATTGTGTGTGCATTATTGTATCTTAATTTCAAGTTCTTTTAGTTTCTATTTCACTTCAATTTCAACTTTTTAACCTGGAAGACACTTAGTACTTAGTACTTAGCTGTGTTTGTCAGACTTTTGTTTCTTCTCCTTTGCACTATTATCATATGAACATTCCATTGAAACTCATGTTATGTGGAGGATTGTATACTAATGTTTCATTAATTCTCTAAACCAATAATACCAAAGTATCTTTTAAAAGGCTTGAAATTGAGACCTTTGTAGTTGCATGTATATGCACAGTTTGCAGTAGATATATAACTATAAAAATTAGCTGAGATTTATTTAAAAGCTATAGACAATAATATTATATACCAGTTGTTTTTGTTAGTTCATCCATTAACATGGCACTTGAAGAAAGCCTGTAATGAAAAGGTTTACCATTATTAATTGTTAGATATAAATCTGGAGTATGCAATAAAAATATAAATACAACTGTAGGTAAGTTAGGTATATTGAGATAAGTATGAATTTCAGTATATTAAATGTTTGGTATAATCTAAAAAGATACATAGTCCAAATTGAATGACTTGTATTTTATGAATTGATATTGTCATAATAAGAAAGTTTATACGTGTTATTGTTATAATTTTTGTGCCTGTAGTAACCTTCGTTCGAGAGGCTCATCGCTTTGTGACATTGCCATTCTCGTGGTAGATATCATGCATGGACTAGAACCACAAACAATTGAATCAATCAACCTTCTGAAACAGAAAAAAACACCATTTATAATAGCTTTAAATAAAGTAAGTATTTTGATTTTATTTATGCAACACTATATTTTAAAATTAAGAGAACTTCCATGCATATTCATATACGAACATGTAGGCATAGTTGGTTGACTTAAATATTTGAAGAAATTAAAGTCATAGCATTTTACTCTCAGTGCTTTGTGAAAAAAGTTATGAAGTTGGTAAACTGAAATTTTATGTCAAGGAAACAATATAAATAAAGATATATATATTTATCAGTAGTATTTAACAATGATCAGAATTGCTAAGTAAGTTAGATCACTAATATGAGATCATAGTAAAGCAAATAGCTGTTTTACTCAGCTACTTAAAATTCTTAATGTTGTGAATGAAATGTAAAATTAAATAGAAATTATGAATACTAGAAATGCTTGGAATAAAATGTTTACATCAGTAGCTTGGAAATGGGAACAGACTGAAGGATAGATAACAAATTATAAGCAAGATATATATCATGTTAAGCAGTTCAACAAATCTACTAAGTCACTACTGCAAAAGGATTAGGTGAATTTTAATGGTTTTAGTCATCATTGGAACAAACAGAAAAGAAATAAAGGTGAGTTATCACAGTTTTTAACCCAGTCATTGTCAAATAATAAAATATCAGTCCAGATATAGTCTAGAGGTATTGTCTTTAACATATCTGAACTGGGACAGATGTGTTTTTTTTATTAAGAGTCGGGTATAACCCTATCTCAATTTTGGCCTGTAATCTAACAAGTGCTATTCTTTTCACATGTGACAGCTTTTATAATTGTACTGAAAGTTACAAAACATTATGAGTGAAAAGTAGAAATGCATAGAAAGTGAGATTGCCATAAACTAGTGTGCTATTTGATTCAAAAGTTTAATAATACTGGGTTTGGATATGTAGGTTTATTTTATGTAAGTTCTATATGATTATTATACAGGTGTATGCTAGAGTTGCAGTTGAAAGAACCACTAATTTTACATTTACAAAACTAGTTAAGAATATACTTTTATTTAAGTATTATTTGATAATTTTTTCTACATTTTCCTGCAGGTGTTCTACACACAGATAATGAGCATCCTTGTAAATAGAATACAAAGATTGTAAACTTGTGCTAATGCTTGCTTTACCTTTTTTCTGTGTAATGCTCTCCTGGAGTGAGGTCTTGCACATTTCAAGGGGTGATTTGTGCAAGTTGGTATGAGTTATGTGATTTTTATCTTTCTTTAATTTATTGTGAGAATGATTATTGATTTAGGTAGTCTAGAATTGAGGGATATTGCACTAGGAACTTTCATTATGTCTTAACAGTGCAATGTATCATGATTCTTGCTCTTGTCTCTCTCATGTACAGATGACTTTCTCCAGTTTCAACAACCAGGGAGTTTTCAAACAGCAAATTTCAAAGCCAATGGCTTTGAAAATACTTCAGTGTTTCATAGTAGTCTTTTGTTTTTATTTATTCACTTGTGTTTTCTTCTCTCTTTTTTTCTGTCCTTTCTTTAAATTATTCTCTGAGTAACACTTCATGAACCTACTGTGTATTAGGAATAGTTTATACTTTTCTGTTGAAAACCAGTGTTCCATATTACCACAATAGGAGTAATTTAAAACATCAGCAAGAATTCATGAAACAAAGAACAATTTCATTTTAATTTATAATTGTTATAATTATAAAAACATCATTGAAAGTAAAGGAGAATGTTATATAAAGAATCTTATATTGATTTGTATTTTGGGTTAACAATTACATTGAAGATTATATATGGTTACACACAGAATTGATTAAAAAAATGTTTACAAGTAAAGGAGTATGTATGGATGTAACCAAGTGAAATAGATTACAAACGAACATACCTCCATACAATATGAACATCACTAATCTAAAGAAGAGAAACAAACATTCAATATCAAATAAAAAATTTGATAGATTGCTTAGTAGACACTTGACATTGACAAATATAGTATAGAATCATGTAAACAGACTTATTGCCATCTGGGGGAAAAAAGGCCTATCCTCTACAATACATCTTTTTTTATCTCCCCCCCCCCACACACACACACTCAGCATGGAACAGGAGGGTAAAAGTCATTTGTTTTTTTCCAAACTAGATAGCAATCAAGGTGTATGACAAGAGTGAGGAGATTCACTTGAACTATCCTTGAATATAGTACACTTGCATTTAGTTTGTGTTTGGACATCTAATTTTGCATGCAGTTTTTTTACCATGTTGGTTAACGTTTTAATTACTTAACTGAGGATATTTTGGATGCTTAATTAATTTTTTCCTTCGTAATGTAGAGATTAGTATATTTTGTTACTTTTATTATATGAACATACACACACACACACACACAAATTTTAGTAGAATAAGGTAGTGTGTCTGATTATACCCATAATAAAAAA